ACAGAGAAACTGAGGCAAAGATCAGTAGGTTGTGCCAAGGGCATAACGTAGGGCACCGTTCAGAAGATCATTTGTCCCCAGTCACTGGAGAGCTCCCCATGTCTTTTGGTGGGACTCAGCACAGAAGTAGCATGAAAGCAAGACATCATTAGCCTGGCTAGTCCACGGCTAGACTACCTTGTTAATACCAGATGTTGAAGGGGCAGTCTTTGGGGAAGCATTCCCCTTAACATGCATCCTCACCCGATCCCACCTCAAAAACAAGAGAGGAGTAGACGCTGTGGTGAGTGGAGAAGGGGTTGGAGAAACAGGGCTGGGAAGTGGGGGTGGGGAGAGCCACTGCGGAACAGCGTCCTTCCACTTGAAAAGCTCAGACATCCAGAAATGCTATTAAAGGGGTAATTCTTAGCAATGACATTACAGAGCCGCTCCTCCTGGCTTTGCCAAACACAATTTTCAAGTCCTTTGGACATTCCCATGAGGCAACACTACTCCTGGCCTCCTGGCCAGACCAAGTGATGATGTAATTGACCTGACACTGCAGAGGGTGCTGACAGTTCTGAAATCACTCACTCCCCACTGTGAGCGCTCTCCCCCGCCCCCCGGCGCCCCATGCCGTCTCTCATCTCCTGCTGGTCTACTCTCTGCTTAATTGAAAAAGGGAAGAGAAAGAGAAAACCCAGTGCAGTTTACAATGCTCCCAGCAAAAATCCTAAGACACTTCCTAAATCTTGGATGGGGTAGCATTTCAGGTTTGCTTTTCATAAAGGGGTCAAGACAGTAATACATAGGTATTAGCAGCTGTCTTTGCGAATGCTTCTTAATACAGCATGGACATATAAAAAACAAAATCCGAAACGGGTCGGTGTCACAACCCCCTGGAGAGCCTGGAGATGACAGTACAGAGAAAACCGTTTTCACTTTCTAAGCCAAAGAGTCCTGGCAAGTGGGTTAAGTGTCAGACTGCAGATGGTAAGGTTTGCAGTTCAAAACCACCAGCAGCTCCTCTGGAGCAAGATGAGGCTTTCTCCTCCCACAAAGAGTGAGTCTCGGGAATCCACAGGGCAGTTCTACCCTGTCTTATAGGGTCGCTATGATCAGAGTGGACTTGATGGCAGTGAGTTTTGAGTCTGGGTGCTGAGCCAATATGGGATGAAGCAGCCCAGCTGCGACCGAGGTATTAACAGCAGAGGCAGCTCCGAATCAAAGGGGTGCCCAAGTGGCCAGCAGGGCACGGCTAACATGTTGGATGAACAGTTGGAAGTGGCAGCCCAGGCAGCAGGAGAGGCAGAAGTCAGGGCAAAGATGTAATGGCCAGAGAAGGGGGTGGAGGTGCTGGCGTTGGAGACTGAGTGGGGAGAGCAGCAGCACATTTCCGTCTAGGCTTCTCCCCTAGGACAAGTCAGGGTTAGAAACGCATCCTTTCCCCCTTCCTTTCCGTTGCAGCCTCGCTGTTCCAGACATCGGAGCCAAAGCCTTACTCTTCTACTTGTCAACAAACGCAATCAACTGCCAGGCCCTACCAATTCCACTTCTGTACTGTCCCTTTCATCAGCCTCGTCTTCTGAGCCCTCATCTGGTCCTCCTACCATCTTATCCAACCCGGGCCTGTGGGAAGCAGAGCTGGGAAGAGAGTGTATGAGCACAAACTCTCAGCATTCATACGCCAAGCAGTCTGGGAGGCCAAGGCTCCCATGGAGGAAACCTTCACGTTCGTGGGTTGGAGAAGTGGCCCACTCACATTCTCCTAAGCAAAATTTATTCCCCACAATGTCTCCCCCAAAGAATGCCAAATATAAGGTGCTGTTTGCAAATCATGGTCACTGAGTATACACTTGGAGGTCAGCTGCTTGAAGGTTATCTGCCTGAAGGTTGTCTGCCATCTAAAGCGATTGGACCCAATTGTCTGTCCCACCCTAAGTAGGGCTCACTCCCTGCTGATAAGGATAACGGATTGTTCCCCTGAAGGAGAGCCCAAAGACGTCTAAGGTAAAGCCAACTCAGAAGCCCTTAGGTTGGCATCTTGACCCTAGAGTCCACCTACCTTGTTATGTATGTGCCTTCTTGTCACAGGTGCCCCTAGTGGGTCCCCTTCCTATTGCCTTTACACCCCTAGCTCATCCCCCTCCTGTTGTGTGTATGCCTATTGTACACACCCTTCCTGTTACCTATGTGCTTACCTGGCCCGCATGCCCGATTATATAAATTCGTGAGATTACATTACTCACCCTCTCTGTGACCTGGCTCGTGAAGTCATGACTGCGAAGGTGAGCCCTTGTATACTCTATCTTGTCTGATGTCTCTTTAATTTACCCCTCAATTACACAACCATCCCTTGGACCCATTCAGTTGTGGGGAGGCTGGTCCCTCACAGGGGCCCAACTCCCCTAGCCCATCTCCTTGACTGACTCAGGTTTTCCATCTCCTCTGAAAGAGCCCTGGTGGCATAGTGGGTTGGATTGCTAACTCTAAGGTCACCAGTTCAAAACCAAGGTCAGCTGCTTCACGGAAGAAAGATAAGGCTTTCTACTCCCATAGTTGCAGTTTTGGAAACCCACAGGGACAGTCCTACCTGTCCTATGGGGTCGCTATGAGTCGGAACGGACTGATGGCAGTGAGTTTGGATTTTGGAATAGTCCTTCTAGAGCATAGGGCTATGCCCATTTGGGCATGTTGCCTGCTATCTGCCTCCCAATTATGTTTCGCATCATTTTGAATTTTTCACAGGACCCTGTGTTTAGAGAAGGGCCTCTCCTTTTCTAACTTCCAGAGCACAAATGACAGATAATTAGCTGAAAAACCACCTCCTCTGTGAGGCCTTCCTTCACGCTTCTTACTGAAAAGTAATCTATCCGCTTGGAGCTACAATCACACTCGAAGATGAAGCACCGATCACTTTAATGACAGATGTGTGGAAACCATTCCTCCCACAGTGGGCTGTGTCTACGATTAGGCAGAGCGGGACCTGGCAGAACAGAGTCTTAGCATTTACCTGTTCCCTGGAACACCTACTGGACTTCTACCTCAGGGAAGGAAGTGCTCAGAAGTGAAATGAATTGGGATAATGCCTGTTCATGAATGGACACACTGCAACAAGTACCCTGTACATGTGACCTGGTTCTCAGGATGATCAAACCCATGGTGGAACTGCAAGGCATGAGGCAGGGGCAGACAGGCAGAGCTCGAAGTTTTGGTGTCAGGAGATGTAGCTTTGAGGTTCTACTTTGCCATTTCCTAGCTACGGGACTGGTGCTAGCTGGCTCATCTCTGAGCACCAGAGCTTCACTTCTGCCCACCCTCAGAGAATCAGTAAGGATTCAATGAGCCACATTGGAAGCCTCTACAAGTGGTTCTCCATAATCACCCACGAAGCTTCTGGAACATACAGGCGCCGATGCAGCCACCTGAGTCAGAAACCTCCAGGAGTGGCCCTGCTAACTGATTATTTATAAAATACAGTTTTCTATTGCACAGTCAAGGTTAAAGACTTCTGTTTTAAACTCATAAATGCGTACGCGTGAGAGCAAGGTGCCCTGGGCTGCTGGTTTAATTATCCTTCCTTTGTACGTTTGGTTGGGAATTAGTGCAGTGCTTTCATAGTTCCATTAAAACCTACTACTGTGAAGAAAAAACAAACAAAAACCTACTACTGTGTATAAGCCTTTTCTGGAGTGTTCCACATGGTGGTTCTTACATTTAAGTGGCAGGTTCTGAGGGGGAAAAACATCCAACGTCCTGCTGTAACCAACAGTGTAACTCTTTTTTTAAGAACAGGGAGTAAAAACCCTGCTGCTCAGATATAGTGACCAGGCCAGCAGCACGGGCGTCCCCTGGGAGCTTTTCAGAGAAACAACAACTAACAATTTTTAAAAACGCGAGCCCTCTCCAGAACTACTAAACCCAAGTCTGCGCAGACCTGCGCTAGACCTCCAGGGGGACCCACAGGGGAAGGAAAACCTGGAACTTTTCTTGGTTCACAGGTAAGGGTGGACTTTTAAAAAGACAGTGTATCCTCTAATGGTTCCACCACCCGGTAGAAACTGAATTAAGAACACAACTCCTTCCTGGGGCTCCTTTCTTCCAAAGGAATGGAGACCTCAGAAAGGTCCTCCAGATGGCTGGTTTCCCGAAAGTTACTTAAAATACAATTGTGTAAGAAGATAAACGGATTTACATTTACATTTTATGTAGCCCATAAATAGCAAGGAGATCTGAACCTTATGACACCTACATTGACCGGCACCCCAAATTAAACAATTATGAAGGAGGCAAGCGTGGCCACTGTAGTCAATCGTTGTTCTCACCAACTATGCTCTGCGGCTGACTAGGAGGGGAGCAGTACCCCTCCCTCTAAGGAGGTCCACACCAGTCAGGGGGTTCTGGCGGACACTGACCAGTCTCTGTTCGACTCCCTTTGGGAGCTGGCAGGGCACCCTAGGTGGGAAGGCGGTTGCACAAGGCCTCACAGCTACTTAAGGCAAAACCACGCTCAGGATGAAGGCCCCGGATGTTCCCCTTCCTTGATGTTTCCATCTCAGAAACTGCTGCTCTGCCTTGGCACTGAAGTGTCACTTTGCGTCTTCCGGTTACTACTAAGCCCCAAGCCCTGGGGGCTGTTTCCCACATTAAGCTGCAGGAGAAGCTATGAGGCGGCTCACTCCAAGGATCCATTTATCAATCCATAGTTCCAAACAGGTGGGTAATGGATTTTTTAAAAGCCCTTGGCTAGCCCTGTAATGCAGAGGCCGCAGCGTCACTAGGAAGCTGGCGGTGAAGGCGAGGAGCCTTGCCTTGGCCTCAGGTGGCTGGAGATGGAAACGCTGGCAAGCACCGACTGGGAAGTAACGCGGTCGGAGGGGAACTCGAGGCAGCGGCACCTTTAAGAAACGAACGCAGTGTGACTATAAAACCGTCCGTTGTGTTTGGTTTTTTAATTAAAACAAACGTAACAGAATGTACAAATCTAAAAGAACACGCCCCCCCACCCCACCCCCACCCCCAAATCGGTAACACTGTTAGTTCCAACAAGGCCACGGTTGCTGGCCACGTGAGGTGGAACTCCTCTTTGGGGGAAAGAAAGGCCTTTAATCCAGGCAGTTGATAGGCCCCACTGGGAAATACACTCCCAAATCTTGGGCAGGCATAAAATATACCGGGAACGAGAACAACGGACAGAGAGGAAACAGAACGAACAGGACCACCGTTTGCGCGGAGGCTCTCTCTAAAGAAGAGAGAGTTGGGTGCCACAGCATGGCCACTGGAGGGTGGGGTGGCCTCCTGGGGCTGCCACGTCCAGTGTCCAGTGGGCTGGAACTCATTTAGATAGAAACGTTTGGTTGTTTAAAAAAAAAGAAAGAAAATCAGCCACACTTCTTCAGAGTCACACTTCCATTCGATTTAAAAAATAACCATCATCATACACCACTCAGACGTAGTTCTCGTCGGACTTCTAATGCAGGAGACATTACATTTAGAATGAAAGCACTCAGAGTGAAAACTGTAGAAGACTAGAACAGCTTCTCTGCCGCTGAAAGGGGCAGACAGGGCGCAGCTGGTTACCTGAATGTCTTTTTAAATATGTGACTACTAACCGCGCGAAGTTTCCTAGTCGTAGCTGTGTTCTGACAGGTAACTGACCACGTGTGTGTCCCAGCCTTTCTGTGCCAACACACGTGAATTACTAGCGTGTCACTGCAACGGGTTCACCCGCAGCCTCAGGGTGAGTTGGGAAAGGGCCGGTTAAACGAGGACACGGGCCACTCCTTGGTGAAAGTCTGCAGCTTCCGCTCCCAGTACATCTTCTTCTTATTGAGCACCTCCATCTTTATCCTGTGCTCCTCCTCGGCCATCTCGCACTCGCGCTCGATCTGCTGGATTTTGGCCACGTGCACCTCGTTCATTTGGATCAGCTGCAGCTGTAAGATGGACATTTGTTGATGGTGCTCTTCCTCGTGCATCTTTTTTAAAGCACCTTCCTGAGAGGCTTTGCTCCGGTAGTTTTTATTGGCTGTTATTCGGACAGCTGAGCACGAGGGTTCGGGTGGGGCGGTCCCCTCACAGGCTGGGAAGTGTATGAACTCTTTGTCATCCTCGCACAGTTCTCTATTTGAAACAGCAAATGACTCTGGAAGACAGGAGCACAAGACAGAGGTTCAAGATTTTTACAAGCAGAGAACAAATCAGCCCCACATACAGGATACAGGATGGATCCCCAAACAGCTGGTGTTTTTCAAAAGCAGTTAGAAGCACCAATGGAGGCCTTGTTACACGACTTCAAAATCAATGGTGGGCAACTGCTGATGCAGACCCAGGGATATCTGTGGTTAGTGTAAGTTCTAAGCGGGAGTACGCATCACCTCACATGAGCATAAGAGCTCAGTAAGAGGCCACCAAGGTGGGTCTCCAGACGGGGCTCTCAGCAGCCTTGAGAACCTTTTGGCAGCATTTCTCTCAGCCACGCACAAAAACAGATGCTCAGCCTCCACCACACCACCCTTTGTAGCTTCGGCCATGGGGTGTTAGCCCTTAGACTGAATAGCTTATCTTATACATTTCCTTCCTTGAAAGGACTTCTCAGCCTATCTCCAGCCCCCTGGCTGCCTCCAGCACTGCCATCCAAGGCCACTATTCATGTTCCAAGGCAACTTTCCAGTACCCCCCGCTCCCCAGTATTGAACCTCTCTCCCTGGCCCTTGCTAATCCTTGAACTGTCTTACATACATTAGCCTCTGACCATCACTCTCTCCGAGATGTTCTACGGCCTCCTCTTTCATTGCTCCTTCTCAAGTCTGTTGCCCGCCCATCTTTTTACCTCTTTTTTTAAATATCAGTTTATTAGGGACTCATACAACTCTTACCACAATCCATCCATCCATCCACTGTGTAAAGCACATTTGTACATTCATTGCCCTCATCATTCTCAAAACATTTGCTCTCCACTTTTTTTACCTCTTTATTCATCTCCCAGGTGCTTCCATCTTTTGCCCTGTCCTCACCCTACCTTAAGAAACTCCCCGTCTGGTTCCAACTTTCCTTTATCTTTCTTACCATAGTCTTCAAAAATACCTCTGCATCCCATGACCTGTGAACTACACACTCCTTTCAAGAGCCACGCCTCTTTCACGTGTGTATGTCTTGCTCTCCCCCTCCCGTCAGTCAGTCTGTCCTTGGGCTCACCTTCTGCATCCCTCACTCACCTAATGGCACACTCACTCCACTCTCCCTTTTTCAGCCTCCTCGCCTCACGCCTACTCTGTTCGGGACCAGCACAGCTTCTCTGAAACCTCAGCCTTCTCCTTTCTCGTGAGTCCTCTCTTGTTACAGCACTTTACACGTGCTAACAAACTCATCATATTTTGAAACCACGCCCTACTCATTCTTTATTCTTAGGTAACTCGTACCTTACCTGCTCATTAGTGTTTATAGCAGGTGCCCAGTAAAGAGCTACTGGCTGTTCCTTAGGACAGAGGTGAAAAGAACAGGGATGTAAAAGAATGCCACTCTGGGTGGGGGTCCTGCTTGTGCTCATGTCTCTACAGAGCAGTGACATTAGTATCAGCTGGGCGGTTCAATAAAGAACCACTAGTGCCGCTAACCCATGGTGGCTTCTAGCTGTGACTGCAGAGCTTTCTTAAGAAGCTTTATTTTTTCAATAAGAAGAACCTTCCCCTTGGAGAAAAATACTATCAATTTATTAGCAGGTTTGATTAACACCATTATGTTCACGCCATTATTCTGCAAGGTGGGATGCTGGGAGTGTTAATGGCTACTGGGCGAAGCCTAATTAGTTAACCCTCTGTTAACAAAAGGAAAATGGCTACTGATTGGATTATTTCACTCGAAGGGTTTAGGTGGCAACCTTAACTAGTTCCTAGTTCAGATGAAAGGAAAGGTAAAAATCTTACTTTGGGGGGTTTAAAACAAACAAAAAATGTACTTCTGTGCCACCCAGGAATAATGAAATGCTTCGCTAGGAATCCCACCAACCAACCCCGACAGCTTCTGGCTTCAATTAATTGGCGGCTCTTCCTTCATGCTTTTGCTACTCCCTGGGCCCAGGGCCTTTCACTCTGCCGTGTACCTGGTGGTTTTACACTACCCCCCCCCCCCACCCACACACACACAAGTCTCTCAAGATAGAATTGGCATCTTTTTCATCTTGTGTAGAATCCAGCTCAGGGCTTGGTACAGGGTGGGAATGTAGGACATGAAGTGGGGTGGGGGTGGGAGGGAATTGACTGGGGTGGGGTACATGCCTCTCCACCCAGCACAGCTGGGGAGAAAGAACGGCGTTCTGAGTAACAGGCCCAGGGCAGAGGGATGCAGAAGGGTTAACACCGAGGCCAGGCTCTTTCCGAAGTCAACAGCTGTGTGGACCCATCATCACCCACTTCCTTTCCTATCTTATCTGAATACAGCTGCTGATGACTGGTCCCATTAGACATGTCTCCCCGTTTTTAACACTGCTTGACTTCATCTCAACCATGCTGGGTTTGGGGGACCAGATGGTGGCGATGATAATGCTAACCCGGGCCCTATACTAGTGCTGTGCAGCACACTACCCCATTTACCGTAATCCTTACAACAACCCTCTAAGGAAGGTTTCCTTGGGAAAGCCAAGCATCCATCTCCAAGGTCATCTAGCTGAAAGGACCAGTATTCAAGATCCCAGTCTGCCTGACTACAAAGCCCCAGATCAGCAACCTTCCACCTTCGACTTGCTCCTGGGATCACTGAGCGTTTCTTAAGAGGCAGTCTCCAACTTGTAGCCACTCCAGCCGCCGTCTATCATTAAGGATACGGGGGTGTCTGCCAAATTGTACCCTCCACACTGACCTGGAGCGCTGTGAACATTGAGAGTGTATGGTCCTGTCTGGGAGCCTAAAAGGGACTCCAGTTTAAAACTACGGTTTTCTGTGAAAATGTGTGTTAACATCCCTTTTAAAGGGAGAGAAAAAAGCCAGACCTCTTAAGAAGGCTCTGGAAGAAACTAGGACTTAAAATTAGAGGGAACCAATGGGAGTAGATAATTGACTCACACAAACATTCGCTCCAGTGAGGAGAATCTCGTGTTCAGAGCGGGAGAATCTTAATTGGAAAAAGACCATCCTGGGACTGGCAAACCACTGCCATGTAATCGCTCTCCCAGGTAAAACAAAGACACCAAAAGTAGAAAAGAGCTCAATCACTCGCTAAAAGGGTAGAGAGGCGCAGTCCGGACAGCCAAGCTTCCCCGACGCCAGAAAATACAGTCAAGGGGCGTTTAGTGTTGCTTTTCAGTCTTCTCAGGATTCAGCTACATCTCGCGCAGGGCCCGCAAGGACAGGTGCCACATCTGTGCACTGCACAACTACAGGCACAGGAGGGGCAGCTGTGGCACACTGTTGATCGCGTTTTAAGATAGAACGTGAAAGGAGCGAGAACGTGTGAAAGACTGTACGCACTTTAGAATGAACAGGGTGCAGAAGGGGATGAAGGGGGAAGACAGAGGAGGGGCTGTGCGGGGACCCATGATGCTAGGGTGCCATGACTGCAGCCCTAACTCAGCCTCCTGGACCCAAACCCCACCCCACAGGAGGGGGACTCAGCCTTGCACGGCTCCATTCTTGCTTGTGGAAAGAAAGACATCTGAAATGAAATCTAAGCGATCCTAAAATAGTTGAGCTATCTGAAATCTTCATTTTCTGAAATGTATCAGACCGCCAGTCATCCTGCCTCTTGATCGTCCCCCAGCACATTTTAATAGCTCCCTTAGTTTGTTCAGCAAACTTGTCCCCCGAAGATAATGAAAGGTAAGTATCAAAGCCAGATCATGGGCCATAAATCTATAGGTTACAGATGATTTTAATATATTTAAGGGGAAATGCTAAAACTTGTTCCTGATGTGATACTTAAACTTTCAGGAGTGCTGTCATAAAAATAAAAATTTTATGAAAGTCCTTTAAACAGTAGAGACCATCTAGGGGACAATGATCAAGATGACCCAATCAAAACCATCACACACATAAAATAGCTAGAGGGGGGCCTCTAGTGGACTATTAGCAGGCTTCCTCCTGTTAGCCATTTTATAACAAATTCCAGCAAATCTGTAGCACAGCGGTTATGCACAGGGTTGCTAACCGCAAGGTCAACAGTTTGAAATCACCAGCCACTTAGTAGAAGAGGAGGCTTTCTACTCCTGTGAAGTTACATCTCAGAAACCCATAGGGGCAGTTCTACCCTGTCCTATAAGGTCACTACACTATGAGTCAGCAAGGACTCAGTGGCAGTAAGAAAGCATGAGAACAGCACACATCAGAAGTGTAATTAATTAAACAACATCGGAAGTGTAATTAAGCAGCTTATATCATTTGACGATTTCTAATAGCCATCTTAAGAAGATATAAGGTGACATAATCTTAAGGAGTTGTCGTTTCATCCCTATACATACAACATCAGCCTTCAATATGCTATCAATAGAATAATGATCCCCCACATAGTCTACATTCTTTTTGGCATGCAGGCGTGCACACTTACAGCATCACCTCGATTCAGTCTCGCCACATTTCAAGTGCAAGCAAACCACCTGCGGCCACTCTATTCGACAGCACATGTTAAAGACACAAAGACCACACACACACACACACACACACACACACACACAAAGCCCAAGTGTCAAAAGTCACATGGTATAATAAGGATCCATAAAGTCTAGAGTAGATTCTTCACCTTTTTCCTACCAAGACTCAGAAGGGCTGATGGGCAAATCCAGCCTTGTTTCTTTCTTGGAAGCAGATTGGGATACAAAATGAGTGACGTCGCCTAAAGGTGTTTTAAGCATTCTCTTCTTATTTAATGTTCCCTCCAACTTTTTGGAAGCCCTCATCTACAGAAAGCAATCCAGCACTGACACTACTAGTGTTAACAGGCTATTCTGGACACAGCACCCCACGGACAAGGCAGCACGGGTCTTCTCCAATGGACACAGAGGCCAGGCAGCATTTGGCTGATGAACCACCACCAGCAAAAGGGGATGCCTAAGGTATAATACCTGTAGAAATGTCCAATTAAAATACATCTCTTCTACAGATGGCACCGCTGGCAGACGGCAGTTACAGGAAGGAAAACTGGACCATCCTATTCCCAGCTCGCTGGGAGTTTACAAATTAGATTTATGAATTTATAAACGAACTGCATGTCTTCTTCAAAAAAGGAAAAAGAAAGAAAAAAGGACATGGGGTACACTCTGTAGATCCTGCAACGTGCAAGCAAGGGAGTCAGACCGCGCCCCAAATACAGCCCTGTGAAATCAAGACACAGGGATCCGGATCAGAGATCAGCAAAGTGAACCGAGAGCAACGTCTCCCGGGGAACATAAGCACTTTGAAAAGCAGGCCCACCCACAATTCTGCTTCACCGCCTTCCTGCACTGGAGTGTCTCACAGACTGGATGGCTCAGAGGGCAGCACGATGGAGAGTAAGCGGTAAAACTATCCCCCTCTCCAAAGCAAGAACAGTCAGTGAAGGGGG